CAATAATTAGATTTTCCTTATGTCAGGGAGCATTATCCTGCACGAACGCATAATTTTCAAACCCAGAATTTTCCAATTTCAGTACAACCTGTTCTTCTAACAAATTCTTGTACATAGCTCCATTAATTCTATTTTGTAAACGTACAAGAGGTGACTACCTAGACTTGAGAACACGGTGAAAACCATCCCGCTACCGCCGGCAAAATATAAATATAAAATTTCTTGACCGTCTTCTTGGTGAACTCACCCTTTTGCCGATTCATTTTTTTACATACTGTTTTACATCAGAACCAGATACATAAAATTTACTTTCATAACTGAAAAATATGCTAGACCACTGTTGCAAATTTCAGTCTTGTTGCCATGTTCTTTTTTGCTTTAGAGCGGCTTCTGTGAACACCTAGCATAAAGACATATTCCTTGCGAGCATCTAGAGATGATTTGTCGAGACACATTAATATCATTTGAAATTTTTCGTGAAATGCCTGCCGCAGTTCGAAAACGGACCATCATTGCTAGACCTTGAATGAACCTGTCTTCTCTGGTCGTTGTTTTCCATGGTCTACCCACCTGGTTTGGTTTTGTTTAGTTTGGTTAAGCGACCAATGTTTTCGAAGTTTTAGAAATAGGCTCGCAAAGCTTTTGGAACGCTTCACCTGTTCAGCAATCTGCTTAATTGTGTGATTTTTCTTTTGCAGTTTGACAACATCAGTTCTTAGAGACTTGTCAACATGTCGTCGGTTCGCTATTTTGGAAAATGACGTCATTATGATAAAGAATGTTTATTTTAACCTCACTTATCAGAAATTCAGATTATATGCATTATTCTCACATATTTACCGATTTGTCCCTTAATTTTGGACACTTGAGATATTAGTAAAGAATTTAATGACTCATAAGCTCTCTCTCTGTATCACTGCAAATAATTTACAGATTTAAATCACAACTGAACTGCCATTTGCTTACATTTAGTGAAATCGTTCAGAAAATTAGACTTGTATTTTTTCAGATATCGAAGTTTTAATTTTTGCTCCGTAATTTTGGACGCTACGGTATATATAACTATCCCCCTCTTAACCTATCTCCACACACACACATATATATATATATATATATATAAAAAGGCATTAAAAACAAGAAATTTTATATTGTAGGCCATGATAGATTTAAAACAAAACACACACCAGTCGAGCGGTTTCGTCCCCTCTCATCAGAACTGTTAACGGGGAACTAAAATTATGAGGAAAAGAAAAAGAAAAAGTCTGTCATGGATGACATGAATGAGTGAACTTGCTGTGCTGCGCGTGTAGCATCTTGGTTTGGTATAATTTTTTTTCTCCCTGTCCACTCTTTTATATATATATATATATATATATATATATATATATGAAAAAAATTTCAGAGTTAACCTATGGAAAAAGACAATATTTATAAATGTAAAAGACAATAGGAAAACTGTAATGGTATCCGACGCGTTTTGTCTAATGTGAACTTTTTCAAGACAAAAACGAAATGAATTTATTAAACAAACTAACTAATAATAACAAAACAAAATATCCTTAGCAAAAAACAACTTAGCTAATGCATTAGTCATACATAGAAATAAATACAGCCACAATTTTGATTTTAAAAATGCTACTCTCATAAAAAAAGAAAATAACTCACTCAGAAGGAAAATCCTCGAGAGTGCCGCCATTGAATATTACCCAAATATTAATCTACGTCCGGAATTCTTCCATATTTTATCTTTCTTAACAGAACTACTAACCTCCTAAACAAACATACACAACAGTATCATGAAATCAAAAGGAAATGATTGAATCCGTCAACACAACAATAAAAACAATATTTCCACACATGACAGTAATTGACGTAATTTTCAGTTAACAGTATGAAAATAGCGTCCTCTAAATTCTTCCATTTGCTAAGGACATTTTGTTTTGTTAATAGTTACTTTGTTTAATAAATTCGTTTCCTTTTTTGCCTTGAAAAAGTCCTCATCGGACGAAACACGTCGGCTACCATTAGAGTTTTCTTATTGTCTTTTATATATATATATATATATATATATATATATATAACCTACTCTCCCACACACACTCTCTTTCTCTCTCTCTCTCTCTCTCTCTCTCTCTCTCTCTCTCTCTCTGTCTACCTGTATATAATTATCCTTGTCTCTCTCCTACCCTCTCTCTCTGTGCGTGTGTGTGTATTTAAGCGGCATGTTTGCTTGAATAATCTGGACATATTATATCTATTTTTATTTTAATTCCCTCGAATTCTCGGATCGACTTCATAATGTTGATTTTAAATTCATTAAGGAAGAAGCCGTAGTTTTTTCATTTCATTTATTTTCCCAAGTACTTTCAATCTCATCCGAGATCACTTTCAGGGAGGAAATGCTAAGAAAAATTAATATCTGTCTATATTTCTGAGATGAGGTATTATGTACACTATTTACATTATTGGGATTATTGTCCTCATCTTCGTCGCCATATTTATTACAACGTTTCGTCCCTTCAGTATCTGTCTATATTTCTGAGATGATGTATTATGTACACTATTTACATTATTCGGATTATTGTCCTCATCTTCGTCGCCATATTTATTACAACGTTTCGGCCCTTCAGTATCTGTCTATATTTCTGAGATAAGGTATTATGTATACTATTTACATTATTCGGACTATTGTCCTCATCTTTGTCGCCATATTTATTACAACAATTCGGCCGTTGTACGCTTTGGCCTTCTTCAAGTGGTTGGGATGTCGAACTGAACCGTTTATTTAGCTCACTGGGATAGACTTTTCTAGTTCCACGTGCCAAGTTTAATGGATGTCAGTTATCTCCTGTTAATTCCCCTCTCCAAGTTCTCCACTGCGTTAACCGGGTATTGAACTCACATTGTTTGGGTCCTGTCACTGGATCTAACCAACGTCTTTATCCACTGTGCCATGTGTACTCAAGGCGACAAAGATGAGGACAATAGTCCGAATAATGTAAAAAAATTAATGTAATTGATAGTTGTGAATTTTGCGAAAACTAAATAAGGTTAGTTAGAAGAATAATAACAATGCGGACACTAAATAAGGTTAGTTGGGAGTATAGTAACAATGGTTTAAAATGTCTACAATAGCAATGTTTACGGAATAATTACATTATAGTTATAAAAATTACAATTATATTAATTAAAGTTACCTCAGATATAACATGAGGGAACTTAGTTTTAACAGTCAATTTCTAAATGAATTACAAAAAGCACGCGCATGCGTGTTTAGAAAAAATCTATCAATTACATAAATTTTTTCTCTTGGCGATTCACACCTCAAAATTAGCTTTTATCATTTAGTAAATAAACATCGTCGTCGACATCATTATTAAGATTTTACGATATTTTCTATCAATGGTGGTTTAACGACCTAGATGGGAAATAGTAAGCATGTGAGCTGATGGGAAGTTTAATGCCCCTAAGACATAAGACGACGTGGTTTTAATTGAAGCCGCAAAATAAAGATGAGAAGAAAATGTCTCGTCAAAAGTTAATAATCTTATAGTTCAGCCCACTTAAATTTGGCGTAAACAAAAAATATGTAATGGAAATAGAAAGTGAAAAAATAATAAACGAAAATTTATTTACTAATTGGCGTTTTTCCATTCAGAGCTGGCAAATTGCTTAACGTCATTGTGGTTCAATTAGAAAGTTTAGTCATTAACACAATACTAATTAAATTAAAAATTGGCAATCTAGCAACGATATTCAGTAAATTTATAAAAATCGATATATTTAGTTGAGTCGATATACAAGCAGTCTCCCAGCCAGGCTTCAGAAAAATAGCTTCGAAGAGATCCTCCGCAAAGAATTGGGTATCAGTAAGACTGTGTAGCAACAATCTTTTTTAATAAAGATGCAGAATTATGACTCTCTCTTTCTCTCTCTCTCTCACTCTCTCTATCTCTCTATCTCTCTCACTCTCTCTATCTGTCTCTCTCTCTCACTCTCTCTGTCACTCTCTCTCTATCTGTCTATCTCTCTCTCTTTCACTCTCTCTATCTGTCTATCTCTCTGGGCAAAATGCATTTTTTTTTCTTTTGTTGATCCCAGTAACACTTGTATTTTTAAAGTCCCACATCGTCTTATTAGTACATTTTACTTTATCCGAATCTAAAAGTTCAGTTCTTGGATTAACGTGTTCCTTTGACATAAAATCGAAAGATTAGATGGAACCAATTGCTGGGTTTGCTGCTAGAAAAGTTGGTTCATTGTGCCAAGCTAGAGGCTTACATACTTATAAGTCTATCATTCTTACTTGCTTTGAATATTGCTACATCTAGTCTGGTGCTCTTGCTAAATATTTAGAGATTCTTGAAGAATTTTACAAAGGCTGACTTGGCATCTCGGTTTAAGTCTTTTTCCCACTGCCGTAATTTATCTTCTCTGTGCCTTTTTCATAAATATTTTCTGATGAATCTTCAGCTTTGGTACTAATTTCTTTCTGGTTGGCTTGCATGAATGACCGGAGCCTGAGATGGGAGACTCTGCAGTTTGAAGTGCTTCAGGTGGATGTCTAAAAATTTTGTCCTCTATTCGGTATATTTTGATGGACGCTCGAGAGATGATTCCTGGCAATTCTTTGAAGTCGACCTCTGCTCTTTTATTTGCAGAGCAGGTGTTGCGTTTTGGATATTACCATAAACGATAATGCACTTTGTCTACTTTGGGTTTATGCGTCCAATGACCATGCAGATGGCTTGATTTGTTTAGCGGATTGAGCCATGCATCAGGTAGACTTAGCCGGGGAGTTGAATGCCGTCCTTGACTCTGATTTAGATCGTATAGTTAAAATTGAGTACTAAAAACCCGGATGTGAAGCCATTTCGTTTCTTTATCGACAAATTTGATCTGGTCGATAATTAGCGTCATGAGCAGCCCCGGGTGTGGACTTGAATTAATAGACGCATCTCGACTTCGGTTGTTCATTTTAGATACCGCGACCGAGTCCTACTTAAGCGAGTTGACGTAGGGATCTTAGGTTGTCCAAGTTTTTAATGATAGTTTAATCGATCATATGCCTGTCCGGGCTTGTGTAAATTTAGACCAAACGAAGGTTAGGATAACTGAGTACTGGAAATTTAACCAATCATTATTTGGTGAGAGAGGTTTTTAGGACCAGCTGCTAACAATACTACAGCAGCAATTAACGGGAGTTGTGGTTGTCAATAAGTAGTGTGATACTTTTCTTTTTATATGCAGTGTCCTTTCAGGTCGTAGGCGATCAGGGCTCTCCACTTCACCCTATCCTTTGTAACTCTCAATTAGGTCGTCCCTCTGCCAACTCCCCCAGACTACGTTTGCTCAAGCCCGCCATGTATGTCATGCGTTGCTTTTTCTTGTCTATTTTTCTCCCTATTCGACTTGTTAGCATCAGATTCTCCAAGCCCTCCTTTCTCATTACGTGTCCCAGAAATTTCTGCCTCTTCCTGATGTCAAGTATAAGCCTCCTCCTTTTTTGCATTTTCTCCAAGACCTCATCGTTGCTCACAGGCCCGGTCCAGGTATTTAAACTTTTGCACCTGCTTGAATTTAGTGTCCCCCTACCTGCAAATCGCATTTCAGGCTTATCCTTTTATTGGTGACTATGCATTCTCTTTTTATGCTTATACTTCCCGCTCTCTTTCGTTACCTTCTGTAAGTTTTTTAATTTTTTTTCCGTGTCTGCTATCAGCACTGTGTCATCTGCATATTTTAATTTGTTAAGATTGCGGCCGCCGATAGGATTTCCAATTCTCTCAGAATTTCCTCGATGTATAGGTTGAATAGGTCCGGTGAGAAGAAATATCTTTGCCTTACGCCACTTTCTATTTTTGTATATTCACTGAACTCGTCCCCTATGCCTATGCTCGTATAGGTTCTTGATTATCTTAATATTTTCCCGAATATATTAAGGTTGCTGAGCTGTTCCAACAGATCCTTGAGACGTACTTTGTCGAAGGCCTTTGCGTAGTCTATGAAGCATGAATATCGCGTTCCTTGTTCCGGGGTCTTTAACGAACCCGCACTGTTCGTGTCATGGTCGCTTGCTGCTGTCTATATTCAACAACTCAGTCTAGTTAGATTAGCAGTCCAGTCGATCGAGCGATAAAATTCCGTGATATTGGGGAAGTAAACTTAGCTTGAGCAGAACAGTTCCTCTTGCTTATCAAGAACGTTAAAGCTCTGGTAGTTAAGGCTAGGTTAAAAAGAATATCTTCCGAGGCCACTAAATTGCGAGCAGAAGAAATTTGAAATGCGTCCAATCGAAATATAGCGATCGTCATATTGCCAGATAAGTGGACCGTGACTACAAGGAAAGTCATAAGTAAGTCTTTTTGAGACTACTTTCTGGATCTGTTTAACAAGGAGAGCGATCTGAACCCTGTTCAGTTGGACGTCTATTTGGCCATCTTTCTCCGCTTTTAGATGGTTGGGTACGATGGTCTCATTACAATGTTGAAAATCTGGGAAGCGCTGAAGCTGGTTGGCGTTGACAAAATTCCGGGTTTAGATGGTCTTCCTTACGAACTGTATTTGAGGCAGTCGTCCGTCTTTGTTCCTTTGCTGGAACTGATTAACACAAACTAAGCGAGGCAGGGATCTATACCCCAACTCTTCACCAGGCGTGTGATCAAGTTGCTACGCATGGACATAAAAAGTGGTGATGGGATAGGTATTTTTCACTCTTTAACAGTGATAAAGAAACGATTTTAAACAAGATTTTAGCCAGCCGTTTGCAGGATCTCCTTTCTAGTCTGATTGACTTCGAGCAGACTATTTAGGATAAAAGTCGCGTTGATCAATTTTCATCTTTCTAAGGAATTCGATAGGATTGACTATCGATTACTGGAGGCTGTTCTTGTGGCTGCCGGTTTCGAGCTGGACTTTCGCAGCTAGATATAATTTCTGTATGTGACAGGTAAAAATAAATTGAGCAAGATCGGATCCTTTAGTATTGTCCTGCTTTATTCGCCAAGGTTTTCCGCTTCCGTTTTTATTCTTTACGTACTTGCGTTGGAACTTTTCCTTCCCAAATTGAAGATGAATCCTGTCCTATGCGAAATTTTCTTTCCTACCACCTCATCTAGGTGCGTTGCCTATGCCGACGACATTTCGGCCTTGTGTCGAACATAGCCGATATTGACGAATCTGGCAAAGGTATCAGGGAGACGGTGAAAGGGGCCAAGATCAAGCGCGATAGATTGCGGCTGTGTACGTGAGAGAGAGTTTATCTTCTGGGACTTTCCTCTGGACTCTCCATTAGGAAATGAACTGGTCGGAGTTGCGGGCGAAGGTCGAGATCGCAATCTGTCCGTGGTCGCGAAGGAAGCTTTCCTTAAAGGGGAAGGCGGAAGTTTGTGCTTCACACATCTACCCGATTCTCCTCTATCGGCTCTCTGTGCTTCCACTGTCGTATACCATACTAATGGAACAAATAAGGATCTTTTTCTTTCTATTGTGGTGCGTCAAGGTTCTCTAGGCAAAGTCACAAGATCTGTTACCTCCACCGTTCTAAAGTCGGCCTGGGTAAACCTAGAGGGTGAGATTCGTCAACACATGCTTCCCATCCTTTTCCCTAGACAGAATGTGTAAGCAATCGGTTGGTGATGCCGAATTCTGCAAGGAAGACGACAGTAAGAAATGTAAATCCTGAGAAATGTGCCCTCGTGCCAGGAGGCCTTCCCACTATTTACACGATGCGAGTTCTTCTATCGTGAATGTCGAGGATTGCACTCAAGTACTCCTTAAGTGCGACGGATGGCCTCTGCGATATCCAGGCGTTGTCTTGTAAGGCCTTGTTGCAGACTGGTGATTGTGTTTAAATTGATCAGAAGGAATTTCGAGGCCGTGTTCTACAACATTCGTCCACAACAATTATTTAGAACAAATACTTGGAACAAATCATGCAAATAAAGTTAAAAACAAGACAAAAGTTGAATGCATAACAATAACATCAATTTATATACAATTTAAATACTGTGAGTTTAAGATTTGATGGATAAATGAGGATTAGTGTATTTAATTGTGTATTGTGTTGTTGTGAATGTTTGGGTGCGTTTGCAGGTATTGGTTAGATTTGTTCACAGAATTAAACTATTTGTTTGAGAACGTACAAAAATGTTCGGTGTTGAGGTTGAATCGTTAGTGTATGTACGTAAGTGTGTTTATACAAGTATTCAAAATTGTTCAAAGTTGCGTACCTTTATCTGCTTGAGAAAAATTGATTGTTAGTTACTGATACTTATTATGTAGTGAGAAATATCACTTTGAAAGTATAATAAGTGAAGTTTGAGAAATATTCTAGAGAGAGATAGAGTGTGCCCGAAGGTTGCTGAGTCAGAGAATATTTTTTATGCGGCAAAGTCAGAGTTTTGACTGGCGTAGAGTTGATGGGCATCTCTCTAGGTGTGGAGGTCTGACTGGTGAATTGGACTAAAATTCGTCCTTTTATTTGATTTGGGAAACCAAAGTAGGCTCCCAGTGACCTGGCGGGAAAACAGATTTTTGACCATGGATACACATTCTAGAGTCGTCTCGACCAATAACAAGCCGAGTTTCACAATGTGTGGTGTTGATTGGTCAAAGCTAATTCTTATAGAAGAGCCTATTTTTAACGGGGGTGAGTAGACAAACATTGACGATTCTATAGCCTTATATCACGTGCTATTTAGGGGGTCCGCTTACGGTAATCTGATAGACGGGTGCGGTGTTACAAAGCAGATGTTTCGCTCTATATTGCTTGCGTGCCTGAATTGGAATGCCTCTCTTATGATGAGGCATCATTCACCTGCCTTGTGCTACGAGGGGTCCTCTAGCTTGTCAAGACTGCGTTCGCTGCTATGAGTCAGTGGAATTCTGGGACACACCTTCTTCCACTGTAGTGTCGTAAGCGCGTTGTGTAAGTTTATTGAAGACAATATGATTCGCATGTTGTGCGGAAAGTTCTGTCTGTAGCTATGTGTTGCCATCTTTGACTAATGTTGAACACTATGTTTTCTTTTGCTTACTAAGTGTCATTCGAGTCGTGATATGGACACTACAACAGAAGGAATTATATAGAGACAACATATTTACCATTTCCCAAATGATCTTATACTTTAAGCATCAGCGTGCCATACAGGAAAAAAATGAGTTACTAGCGAACAGATTCGAACGTGACATTCTGGACTTATGAATATATATTTCCGACAGGTGTACAAATAGCGGTGTCAGGCTACTGACTGAAGTGATTATTGAGTGGAACTATCCAGTCGAATTAGTCTGAATTATTGTGCGTCGATGATTTGGGTTTTGATTTAGGATTTACCTGACGTTAAGCCGAGCCGCGTTACTAAAAAGGTATTCACTGAAATCGTTAATTACCTTTGGTGGACATTCAATTCTTTATTCTTGTTAAGTATTTATTTCTGGTTATAATTAGATATTGTTTTATTTTAACTTTGAATCTTGAGTTATACTTAATTATTAACGGCCACCGTACGTCACAAATCAGCTTAAAGTCAATATTAGAACGGATTGGTGAAGATTTCTCCATTTGGAATTTGGCAAAACTTGGGTAAGACTTGCGTATTTCTGTCGAGTGGTATTTTTATACCGGTTAAACATTAGTATATTTTCTTTTTTTTTTTGTATTGGACATTGGCAACACCGCTCAAAATAGGGTACCTTAGGTTTGTCTTTTTGTTTAGTTTCTTTTGACAAAGTTAACTTTGTATGCTCATTGGCTCCTTTTATTCTGTTCACTTTTTATTTAGCTTAAATCACCATCTCCTCTCCCATTAGGTGACAGAGAAATGAAGTTCTCCGGTTGATGCTCGTCGCCTTTCGTATTTTGAGTTTGCATTTCATAATTGTTGTTGTGTCTGGATTAGTGTATGTTTCAGTAATTGACTGGTAATTGTTGAAATTACCGAGTCCTGCATTAATTTCGTCCAGTTAACTGATTTTTCTGGCACAATTAAGAATTGTGTTTTTTTTATTTTTTATTTTGTTTTGTTTTTTGTATATACTCTTCGTATATTACTTACACTACTTACATTGTTAGGACTCCTGTCCTCATCTTTGTTGCCATATTCAAAACGTTGCGGCCCAGTGAATAAAAGCCTCGGCTGAAGTGATCCAAAAGCGACTTGTCCTAAATAGTTGTGAGTTCAAGAAGAGTTAAGTTACTAACGGGAATTAACTGAAACTGAGATATCGAGTAAAGGCACGGTACGTGGAACTAGACAATCTACCTCTGTTGCTAAGTTCAAAATTCCAACATATATCACCTGAAGAAGGCCGGAGCATTCAACAACCTAAACGTCGTGAATATAACAATAAAGATGAGGACAACAATCCGAACAATGTAAATAATGTAAATAGTTACAATAACTCATATGAGAAATATAGTCAGATTTTAAACCTTGTAAATACAGATTGGGGTTACATTTTGAAGGGTTGTTATTTTATTCTCCACCCGCACAGATAAAAGTGTACATATCAGGACTAATTAAGACTTTAATGAGACTTTGAGGTATTATAGTGACATAACTAACAATCAATTTTTCTCAAGCAGATAAAGGTACGCAACTTTGAACAATTTTGAATACTTGTATAAACACACTTACGTACATACACTAACGATTCAACCTCAACACCGAACATTTTTGTACGTTGATCAAACAAACAGTTTAATTCTGTGAACAAATCTAATCAATACCTGCAAACGCACCCAAACATTCACAATAACACAATACACAATTAAATACACTAATCCTCATTTATCCATCAAATCTTAAACCCACTGTATTTAAATTGTATATAAATTGATGTTATTGTTATGCATTCAACTTTTGTCTTGTTTTTAACTTTATTTGCATGATTTGTTCCAAGTATTTGTTCTAAATAAAAAGGGTAAGAATGTTGTTTTTAGTGTAAGGATTATTGTGGTATGTTTAAGGTCAGTGTTTGTGGCTTGCTAAGTTTAAATATAAGACCAGCCTTCCCATCCCAACACTTTTGTCTTTGTACCGTAAATAGGAGAAATAAATATCGCTCTGTGGTATCTAGACTTCATTAATTTAAGCATAGTACTAATTAGCGGCAAGGTCTCATCATTTTACAATTTAAATGGCTAAATGCAAGCGTAAATTCAAGCTAAGAGTTTCATCTCTCGTTTTTGCAACTTTCTTCCGGCTTCTTACTTCCCAGTGAAATTTGATCCTTAAATGCAATGTCAATCGGTATCTTCTGCCTTCTTAATATCCTTTTTATTAATAGAAGTTTTTCTCGCATTCTTTAACACTCAGTAGCCCCTTGGATCCTAATGACAATAAGCCTTTCGTTATAATCTGTCTTCTTAATTCTTGTACTTTTATTTTCCACTCTCCTTAATGGTAGGTTTTCTCATATTCTCTAACTTTTAGTAAACCCATTGCGTCTTAGTGGCTTTAGTGCCGCGATTGGGTGAAATTTTAAATGCAATGTCAATCGTTATCTTCTTAATTTCTGATCTTTTATTGTCATCTCTAATTAATAGTAGTCTTTTCTCATATTCTCTAACACTCAATAACACCTTGCATCCTAGTGGCTTTATTGCTTTTGATCTTGTAAATTTATATGCAATGTTAATTGTTATCTTGTTCTCTTAATTCCTGTTCTTTTATTCTCCACTCTACGTGGGTTTTCTTATATTCTCTAAAACGCGGTAACTCCTTTGCGTCTCAGTAGCTTTAGTGCCTTACTTGGGGTGGGGGGAATTTAAATACAATGTTAATCGTTATTTTCTGTCTCCTTTATTCTTGTTCTTTTATTGTCCTCTCTTCTTACTAGTAGTTTTTCTCATATTCTCTAACACTCAGAAATCCATTGCGTCCTAGTGGCTTTATTGCCTTTGATCTTCAAAAATTTAATTGCAATGTCAATCGCTATCTTCTGTTTCTTAATTCCCGTTCTTTTATTTATTTCTCTGCTTTTTTTCTCATATTTTCTAACACATTTGCTTCTTAGTGTCTTTATTAAATTTCTTGGTGTGAAACGATTAAAAAAATACAGTTTTCTCACTGTTTTTCTCTGTTAATTTTGCCTTCGATTTGAGTGTTTTATTCTAGAAACTTCCTTTCCTGATTATGTCTTTCCGATATTGCAGCTGACTTTTCTTAATTGTTCCTGTTCTCCATAAAAATTTAGATCGCAGCCAAGATGTGTTTTTTTAGTCATTGTTAATTAGTTCTTTAAATTCCTTAGTAATTTATTCCATTCCTGAAAAGTCACTTCCGCTCTTCTAATCGAGCTTCCATTATTTTGTTAAAAGTCTTATTGCATTATCCTGATCGGTGAATTTCTGCATCTTCTTCATTTTAAAGTCTTCGATGGATGTTTACGGTCATATCAAGTTGAAACACCAGTTCTCATACGATCACTGAACTTAAGCAACATGGTGCCTGGTCAGTATTTTGATGGGTAACTGCTTGGGAATCTTAGGTGCTCTTGAATGCGCGTGTGGTGTAAAGGATAACCCATGGTCGAGTTCTCATTCCAGTTGGGTTCATTATATCTACTTACGAGGAAATACACTTGGGTAAGTTGTGAATCCATTCTTTCCCGCAATTATGGTTTAATTAGTAGAACTCGTATTAGTTCTTAATAATTCTTACTCTTTAAAATATCTTCTAGCTTTGAATAACCTGAAGAGACACTAATTACATTATTAGGACATTTGTCCTCATACTTGTCGCCATATTTATTACAACGTTTCGGCCGTTGTACCCTCCGGCCTTCTTCAGGTGGTTGGAAAGTTGAACTGAACCCTTTATTTCGCTCACACCTTGAGGACACATGGCACAGTGAATAAAGTTGTTAGTTAGATCCACTGACAGGACCCAAAGAATTTGGGTTCAATACCCAGTTACGGCAGATAACTGATAACTGACATCCATTAAACATGGCACTTGGAACTAGAACAGTCTACCCCAGTGAACGAAATAAAGAGATCAGTTCGACATTCCAACCACCTAAAGAAGGCCGGAGCGTACAAAGGCCGAAACGTTGTAATAAACATGGCGACAAAGATGAGGACAATTTTCCGAATAATGTAAATAGTGTACATAATAACTCATCTCAGAAATATAGACAGATACTGAAAGGCCGAAACGTTATAATAAATATGACAACAAAGATGAGGACAATAGTCGGAATAATGTAAATAGTGTACATAATACCTCATCTCAGAAATATAGACAGATACTGAAGGGCCGGAACGTTGTAATAAATATGGCGAAAAAGATGAGGACAATAGTCCGAATAATGTAAATAGTGTACATACTACCTCATCTCAGAAGTATAGACAGATTCTGAAGGGCCGAAACTTTGTAATAAATATGACGACAAAGATGAGGACAATAGTCCGAATAATTTAATAGTATACATAATACCTCATCTCAGAAATATAGACAGATTCTGAAGGGCTGAAACGTTGTCATAAATATGGCGACAAAGATTAGGAGAATAGTCCGAATAATGTAAATAGTGTACATAATACCTCATCTCAGAAATATAGACAGATTCTGAAGAGAGTAAAAATCAAATCAGTCAATCCTTGTTCGAGATGCAGAAAGAGCTGAGAACCATGCAATCTGTTTCCTTACAAAAAATGTTTACCTACCGTATATAACCGATTATAATTAGAGGTTACAAATCATTTTCTCTGACAGGGTTTAAAAACCATGCAATAATAGACAGGGTTTTCACTATACATGAACTTGAGCTCTACACGTGTATATACGGCATTTTCGTTTTGCTTTCATAGATCAATTGTTTAATAATCCTTTAAGATTTCTTTCTGGATTTGTCATCTCCAGTGCATCACCTGCGTAGTGAATTTTATTAATGATCCAACTCCTAGAAATCCTCTTACTCAATACCTACGATGTAAAGGTCAAAAAACAGTAATTTCCTCACCGTTTAAATCGGCATACCAAAGCCTGGATTATACCAAAGCCTGGATTATACCAACGCCGGCGCCTTCAGTCGGAAAATACTCATTAATTTCAGTGTGGCTCAAGTTTACTCTGGACTATATCCAAACTTATGAACATTGTGTAGTGTTAAGTTGGAAAGCGTTTCTGGCCATATTAGAAATGGTGTTTATTTCAAGAAACTTGTACATCGAATTATGTCAGACTAATTCCAAACGCTTATTAAATACCCAAAGGTTATGTTTGGGCTAGATCGGAATAGATAGACTGATTGATCTTCTGATTCGACAATGCATTATGGTCTATTTAATACCAAAATCTTTTGTTGTAAAAGGAGTCGACCGTAGTTGGGAACATCGAGTCAATGTGAACGATCATTTTCTTAGCTGCAGGACGACATACAGATTTGAACTGAGAGTTTTTATCTCTTAAACCGGTTACCAGCCAAGTCTATAGAACCCAGTAGGCCCTACTATTCACCAATAATTGGAGGACAAAAGCTGAATTTATACCTCTCCCAAGGCTATTACTACGTTATCGTCATCATTAAACCTGCATTGGGTGGATTGCAGTTTTAATAGAGGCACTGTGAAATATTGAATAGCGGCTCGGATTGAGGAATCGGAGATCAGAGTTCGAATTCCAGTTACATTCCATTACATTCATTTATGGGCTAATACCATTGCCAAATGTATAAATCGATCTCTTCTTCCCTCAAGGGGGACACGTTGAGTTCTATAGCCTAAATTTAAGACCTGAAAGCCTAGGGCACGGGCCTATCGCGACCCACAATGGAAAAGATGCTAAAGGGATTACTTCGAAATTAAATTGATATGCGTTGTAGTTTTCTTTTTATGGTACCAATCCCGATACTATTTCATAAGACCTCATATATATATATGTATATATATATATATATATATATATATATATATAAAAAGTGAACATAGAAGTCAACACTTAGAGGCGACAGTCTGTTTCATGCTATATGCAATCGTCAGGCCACTCGATTGCATATAGCATGCAACAGACTGTCGCCTCTAAGTGTTGACTTCTATGTTCACTTTTATATTTACACACGCTCTATCTCTGATATTGAGCACTTTATCCCATAAATATAGCACACCTTAAGACTATATTTCTTTATATATATATATATATATATATATATATTGTCAAACCTAGACAACCAGACAAACCTAACAAGGTTTCACCTAAGCAGATCGATCCGCTTAGGTGAATATATATATATATATATATATATATATATATATATATATATATATATATATATATATATATATATATCTGTGTGTGATGTGTGTGTGTGTTGAGTGAAAAGAACAGGATAGCAAATGTACGGCTGTTTACGATCAAATCACTTCTTATTTAATACCAAAAGAATATCATTTACAATCAAGAAAACCACAAAGGAAAACAAAATGAAAACAAAATTTCTTCTCATTAACTACAAACTCTAGAAAATAATGAACTTGAAAGCAATCTTAATATAAAAATTATCAGAAATGCTTTTAAACAGTTCATAAGTTAATCAATATTCATTTCCTCAAATAAAACTTTTAAAAATGGCTAATAGAGTAGCTGAAGTAATAATCATTTTCATTTTCAAATAAAAAAAAAAAGGAAAATCTTTTAAGCGCACAAAAAGTTACGATAGATTATAACGTCAGTATATTGCCGTATATTGTATATAAGATTGTATGAGTCATTGTGATTTTTTACATGCACATTCAAAGTTTTTCACACACACGCACACACACACACATATATATATATATATATATATATATAGTTGGATTGATGTGAGTTTGAGACCCTGGGTTTCACGCTTTTGCGATCGTCAGACAAACTGATTAATTTTTTTTTAAACTAATGACGATCGCGAAAGCGTGAGACCAAGGGTCACAAACTCACATTAATCCAACCAAATATGTTAGCTCTATCTCTGATATTGAGCGCTTTCTAATAAGTACCGAGCATATAATATATAAATAAATATATATATATTTTTTTTTTCACATATATATTCGAGATTCGACGTATGAGGGTCAAGCAGATCAGTTTCCAGGAAACCGACAGCCCGACCCCGGCACATGAGATTTGATTATAGTGGTGAAGGCCTCGTGCAGTACCATCCACACTTTTTGAAGGGACGAATACAGAGACCTGGTGCATCGAGTGCCACAAGGTCTCCAAACGACCCTCCGCAGGTTTTGAATTCAGAGTTGTCCTTCTCCTAGACCAGTTGCCATCCAAGGCTATAAAACCCAGTCTGTCCTGCTATTTTACCCATAGCTGGAGGGAGAGTAAGAGGATTCATACCTGTCCCAATGGTATTAGCACGTAAGTGAATGTAATGGATTCGACTGGAATTCGAACTCGGCTCTGCGATTCCTCAATCCAAGCCGCTATCCACTACTCCACCGTATGTATTCGGTTGTCTAGTCGAACACCAAAGCAGTCATGCCTGCGAATGATATGTGAGTTCAAAATAAAGGTTCAACCAATATCAAAGTTCATTTAGGATGAATTAATATAAAAATCAAACATCTCCCTCAAAGTACTTCTGGCACCTAAAAGAATCCAATAAAACACCTACAGTAAAATGGAAGGTAGAATATGTAGGTCAATAAATGACCCATGTCCTTTGTGCATACATGAGAAACTCTATATTACTAAGTTTATAAAAATAAAAATTTACTGAATCAGAGAAATGAAATAGCTATTTTGTGCCGTCATTGTCAAAAAAATTCCTTAAATAATATTTAAAAATAAAATTAAAAAGTGCGACCATGTAATATACGTACTTATATTTGATGGGAAAAAATAATTTTATGTACTGTAAGAAATTCTATTACATTTACTTGTTTTATAAAAATATATAGTCTATTAAAATTAAGAGTGAAAATATTTTAAAATTGTTTTTAAAATTATAGTTAAATAAAATGAATTCTAAACTAAACATCTGTTAAAATTGTAGTTAAATAAAATGTATTCTAACCTAAACACTCCTCTCAAAGTACTACAAGCACTTAACAGAATCCAATAAAACACCTACAGTAAAATGAAATTAATAAGAAAAGCTAGAAGATGTAGTCCATTAAATGGCCCATGTCCTTTGTACATACATGAGAAACTATATATTACTAAGTTTATAAAAAATAAAAGTTTACTAAATCAGAGAAATGAATTAGCTATTATTGCCGTCATTGTCATACATTTTACTTAAATAAAATTCTAAAAAAATGTGACCTGGTAATATACATACATATACTTGATATGAAAAAATAATTTCACATACTGTAAGTAAATTTACTTGTTTTAAAAAGAAATATAGTCTATTAAAAATTAAAAGTGTAAATATTTTAAAATTCTAGCTAAATAAAACGTATTCTAACCTAAACATCCCCCCAAAATCTTTAAGTATACAAATAGAAAAAATGCCGTAAGAATTTTAGCCGTTAACAATTATTTTAAAAAAAAAAAATCCA